TCTTGCTCCACATGGTGGAGTGGTCCAGACTTTTTAAAATCTTCAAGCATTAAAATTCCTAACATTCCTAATACGCATTCAAACTATCAATCAGAAATCATCTTTCACACTACATGTATACAAACAGACACAGACACAATACACGAATTTATTAACAAAACATCTAGTTTTACACATTTAATAAGATCGATGTCTTACATAAAAAGATTTATATACAATTGTAAAAATTCTAAAAATAAAATAACAGGATCATTGTCATTAATAGAGTTGCAAAATTCAGAAAATCAAATTTTGCTATTAGTTCAACAAAAAATGTTTCCAGAGGAGTATACATTACTCAAAGCGGGCAAGCCTCTTCCAAAAAATAATCGATTAAATTCTCTTGTTCCCTTCATGCATTCTGACAATCTTATTAGGGTTGGTGGCCGTTTAAACAATTCATGTTACACCTTTGATGTAAAACACCCTATATTATTATGTAGCAAGTTTCATTTGACGCAAATAATCTTTCATAATCAACACATAAAATTAATGCATGCCGGACCTCAATTGCTATTATCTTCTTTAAGACAGAAATACTGGCCGCTGGGAGGAAAGAACCTCGCTAGACGCGTGGTGCATGCCTGTGTTCGCTGTTTTAGATTCAAGGCTAAGCCAGCACAACCTATCATGGGTGACTTACCTTGTGATAGAACTAAGTTAGAGTTTCCGTTTCTAAACACAGGCATGGATTACGCTGGTCCGATCTTAATAGCAAATCGTAAAGGTAGGGGTGCTAGGCTAATAAAGTCGTACATTTGTATTTTCGTTTGCCTCGCAGTCAAAGCCTTGCACATCGAACTCGTCACGGATCTGACGACAGAGGCTTTCTTGGCAGCCTTTTTTCGCTTTACTTCTCGCCGAGGACTGCCAGCTACAGTAACGTCAGACAACATGACCACCTTTGTCGGAGCTGCTAATGAGGTCGACATCTTCTTTAAAACCTATTCTAAGGACATTCAGTCTGAATTAGGTAACCGGGGCATTGAGTTTCAAACAATTCCTCCCTATTCCCCTCACTTTGGAGGATTATGGGAGGCAGCTGTCAAATCTATCAAGTACCATCTAAAACGAGTCTTAAGTTTGACCCACTTAACCTTCGAGGAAATGTCGACTTGTCTCGTCCAAATAGAGGCCGTCCTAAATTCTCGTCCGCTAACTCCCTTGTCCACAGATCCCGCTGACCTCTCCTGCCTTACACCTGCTCATTTCCTCATTGGACGCTCACTCTTAACCGTACCGCGTCCTCCAATTGGCGATGTTAAAATAAACTGCCTCGATCGGTACCAAAGAGTACAGAAGTTAAAGGAGCATTTTTGGGACAGATTTTCACTTGATTACGTTCATCTCCTGCAACAACGCGTCAAGTGGCGTGCACCTTCTACAAACTTACCTCTTGACACCCTTGTACTAGTACGCGAGAGAAACCAGCCTCCTCTACTCTGGTGCCTAGGTCGAGTGGTCGGCGTACATCCAGGACGCGACGGCGTCACTCGAGTGGCAGATATCAAGACTAGAAAGGGAGTTATTCGGAGGGCTTTTAATAACATATGTCCTTTGCCTTCAGTTTGCACTCAGACCTAGAAGTCAAGCAGCTATGTTGAGCCA